AAATATATAGGCTTTTATTGAAACATTTATTTGTTTTTATTTGAAAGGCAAATTTTCAGAGAGAAAAGGAAAGGCAAGAGAAAGAGAACCATTCACTGGTTCTCTCCTGAAATGGCTGTAACAGAATAAATTCAAATGGCTAATAGACATGAAAAAATGCACAGGCTTCCTAGTTATAAGGGAAATACAAATGAAAACCACATTGAGATTCTGCCTAACTCCAGTGATACTGGCCTACATTCGTGAACGCTACTAATAACACCTGCCAATGTGGATATGGGGAGAGAGGTATCCTCTTTCATTGTTGGTGGGAGTATAGGCTAGTACAATCGCTATTGAAGTCAGTATGGAGAATGCTAAGAGAACAGAAAATTGACCTGCCATATGACCCAGCTTTTCCACTTCTGGGAATATATCGAAAAGAAATCTATATATGAGAAAGAGATCTGTAATTCTATATTTGCAGCAGCAAAATCTATAATAGCAAAGACATGGAAACAACCCAGATGCCTGCTGTAAGAGGAGAAGATAAAGAAACTGTGGTCCATCTATTCCATGGAATACTATTCAGCCATTAAAGAGAATCAAATTCAACCATCTGAAACCAAATAGTCCCAATTGGAAACCATTATGCTCAGTGAAGCAAGTTAATCCCAAAAGGACAAATACCATATGTTCTCTCTGATAAGGCAACCTCCTTGCAAAAAAAAAAAGGTCAATATCCCTTTCAATACTGATTTTGCTACATCTCATAGGCTTTGATATATTTTTAAAATTTTTTCATTCTATCCAAAAAAAATTCATCTTATTTATTCTATCACCAACTCATAGGTTACACAATATTATCCTTTGCTTCAGGAAGGTCTGATTTGCATTTCTTCAGTGACACATTGGTCACTCAGCATGCCATTTGACTTCATGTTATAAATTTTTCTATTTTTCTGTGTTGATTTTGTTTTATGGCTTTTCATCTGGGGGGAATGTATAGTAACTGTGTAGTGGAGAGTATCGCCTACAGATGTGAAGATATAATGCAGTATGCATTGCTACTTGCAAATCAAAAATGGACTGCCAGTGAAACTGTTGAAAGTATCTTGACAGTAAGATGCTGGACTCTCTGCCATTGTCTGTACCTGCAATGCCAGGATACACGTAAATAGCAGAAGGATGGACTTAGGACTGATGGTGAAGGACTAGACTACTGTAATAATGTAGGGGAAATCAGTACGGGCAGATTTGGGGAAAGGGAAACCCTGGAGCCTATGGAACTGTATAATGGAATATTAATTAATTTTATGAAAAAGCTTCGTGTTTGGGGATACAGTCTATTCTGAACAGTAACTTGGCATCTTCCTAAGGTTGTAAAAATATTTAGCAAAGAAATTAGAAACTAGTGGTGGTCAAGCTCTGTTCCTTGTTGTAGGACTAGTCAAGGCAAGACTATAGATATGTTTACATGTATCCCTACATTCGCTTTATAAAAAGTAAGTTGGTTTTAGAAGCTGAACTACACTGCAGACACTCTTAGGGTGTGAACAGATTTTGTTCTAAATATTTATGTATAGATGAACTAGAAGTTTATATATGAATTTCCATATGTATTCTGACTAGTAAAATTTATTTTGCCTGCCATTGACTTCTAGTATATAACTAATTATGCTTTGGGCCTCATTCTTTATATATTCTATTATTAATGAAGGCAACATATTCTGAATTACTAATGAATTTCCTGGAATATACTTGCTTTCAAACCTCTGATCTTGCCATAAAACAAGCCAACCACAACCCCATAGTTAAGCTTGCACCCTCTATTGTTTTCTTAGGAGTAAGAGAGCTTTAACAGGCAAAGAGCTAAAGGATGAAGTTATTTGCCTAGATGTGCAGTGAACTCTAAATTTATGCTTCCCATTTTTCAATATGGGTTATTCCATTTAGAACTTAACAGATGGAAGTATGGATATCATTAAGTTCTGTGTATCTCTATAATCTCAAAAAACTTAACTCCTTCTTCTGTACTTTCAAACAAAATCTAGAGCCCAATAATTTTTACTATTCTTCTGATTTTACTACTTGGTAAGGTTGCTATATAGTAGTACCAAAAGAGAAGGCAAAGGCTCAAAGCTAAGAAATAAGTGTCTTTCATTCTTTCATTCTAGCCTTTTTCTACTAAAGTGCCCATCATGTTGCAAAGGTCTATTTATTACGAAAATATTTTTAAAACTTATCTCCTCTAAATCCTTGTTGATGAGTAAGTTTGGGAATAAACAAAAATGGTTTGGCCCTCAAGAAGGTTACCTTCTAGGCAAGAAGAAAGGGTTACACATAAAGAAGTGAACTATTCAGGAATCCAATCAACAAAGTGAGGGTTTATAAAAAATAATGGTTCTGAACAAGAAGTGTCATGAGCCTAAATGAGGGGAGGAACATAGTACTAGGGAAAGTGGAATTCAGATGGAAGAACCAATGGAAGGGCGGGATTTCTGAGACTGGAATGCTAAGGATCCCATTGAATGTGGGTGAAAGTGGAAAGAAACACCAGCCATGAGAATAAAAGGACTCAAAAGCAAGTGGTGACTTATTGAGGGCAGTTAATGAAAAACAGGACTACATTACGCCAAGTCTACATTCCCTAGCTAGTTGGACAGGAGAAATGATAGCTTGACACTTCAGAAGTGACCCTCAACTTGGAGAGGGCAAGGTTATTAGGTGACAGATGCTTATCATTCTTAAGCGCCAGAAACACAATTCTGTGTAATAAGATCAACTTCTCTTGTCTAATGTTTTCTCAAACATGGGTAAGTTTGGGTTGGATAGTGTCTGAGATCTTATGTAGCTTGCAGTTTTGAAGTGCTTTGATCCACTGATGAAACTGAAGTACTGGGTTGGTTGTGTAATAAGGAGGGGAAAAGAATTTCAGAACAGGGAGTCTAAAGAGGACCAGAGTTAGGGCAGCATACTGCGAAGTGGTGAGCTCAGTGGAGACCAGGAAACCGTTTTTTTTTTTTTTTTTTTTTTTTTTCAATTGTGAAATGGTGTCCAGATCAGGCCCCGGATTTTGTATTGCTACTTTAGGCTCTCTTCTTAAAGCAAGCCTATTTCCGATGCCCTTTCCTCTTCTATACTTCTTTTCTGTGGTCATTACTTTTCCTCCTGACTACACACATCTGAGTTGTAGAAGGTAAAACAAAGGAATGAGTGTTCTGCCTCTTTTGTTGTGGCTGTCCACAGTTTTCCTGCCTTGGCTTTCGTGATTTGGGTATTTGGCATTGTCACTGGTAGTGGCCGCTGCAGCAATACCCCTTTGGCTTGTACTTCTCAAGTTAATAGTCTGACAGGTATTTCTATTAATCCTACCCCAATATTCCTAGAGATGACATCTCAGTTATTTCCAGATACATGTGGGATAAGAGAATGGCTAGTTGAAGCAGGGATCAAAACAGAATCAAGGAATGCAACTCTAAGAATCTCAATGGCATCTTGTGACTGGAGGACCAAAGAAGCAGTAACAGCCAGAAACTGGAGAGCCTGGGTCAGTGCCCAGTGCACTTGTTTGCCCAGAGCTACCTCAATGTGGTGCCTTCATCAACACCTGTTTATGGAGAATCGATTCTGTGCCAGGCTCTGTTACACATACTATAATTTTCTGTTGACTCTAAGCTCTTCTGATACATGAAAATGAAGTGAATATGGCTTTCTCAAAAGGGATTAGTTCTGCTCCATATGCTAGCACTTAGTTGAACATTGTGAAAAATCTGTAATATCCGCTTGTTTTTCAGGGTTTAGCCAAATTATTGAAGGCGCATTACTTGATGTTTTATATTCAGGGCTTGAAAGAAGCTCAGTTGAATAAACAGTGGTATGACTGGATGAATCAACAGCACGTACCATATGCATATATACCACCAAATTCTGGGATGCACTGAGCCAGTCCTGCAGGGAATGCCAAGGAGTATGAGAGGGAGTTCTTCCCCGTAGTTATTTCTTAAATGTAGTACATGAAATGATAAGCCAACTGCTGATTCCTAGCTAACATATTTTAAAGAAAGAAAGCCACTGTTTCTTAAAAATGCAGTCTGTTATACAAGTTACCATAAGTTGCAAAATATAATTTTTCATATTTTATTTATATATAATGAACAAATCCCAAGTATTTCACCATACAAATTTAGGAGAATAGTGATATTTTAATCAAGCAGAATCCTGTTGTTAAAGACAATTCAGCTAGAGAATTCGCTGCTGTCCTATGTGGGCGTAGAGTGAAAGCTTCTGGTACCCTACATTGACTTCTCAGTTTTACTGTTCAGAGAATGACCTGAACTTAGCAGTGTGAAGTTGACTGCTCCACAGGAAACCACCTCCCCAACTGCTGCTTGCCGCTTTCTCTTTAGCCAACACCCAAAGCCACTGTCAGTTGTCACGGGGACCAGACTTCACAAGGTAAGCAAAAAAACAGAAACAGGCATGTTTTCAAAAGAATCGTATGAGGGTACTTCCCAGGTGTGATAGGAAGTAGATTCTTGCAAGGATACCTGTTTGGGGTGTGGACAGGACCTGTAGCTCTACATACACGATGTGGGTGAAATGAGACAGATTTGAGGTTCCCAAGTGTCCGATCTGAGACGGAAGCAGGCTATGTTGTCTAGACTACAGGAAATGCTTTGTTTTCTGAGAGAAGGTTATCAGAATTTTAAAAGCCAATGATGGCTAGTGAGACAGTATAATTGAAATTTTATTGACTAGTTGGTTTCTAGAAGGCTATTTCCTTCTGTGTATGATTCTAAAATTCTATCTGTGAGAATAGGTTGCAAACTAAATTAAATTAGGATTTTGAAAGAGATAAGTCTTATTATAATGACAGACATCCTCTGGCTATTTTTTCCCCTCAAATCAGGAATTTAAAATGTTTAGTGAAGTCAGAATCATGTCTAAGATGTTTTTTTAATCTCTTGACAAATACAGAAAGCATGGTTATTTAAATGATTATTTCATAATCATCTAAAATTGCTACACATATCAACATAAAATAACTTTTCTTTACTACAGGGTGGATATTATTAAGAACCCATTACATGAACAAAGTAACATTAGGCGCATTCTTCAAGGATTTTCCTCCCCGTTGACCTTTCAACCTTTTGTAATTTTTCCGGACTGTTCCCGCTTTCCTCCACTTCCTCCTTCACAGACTGTGTGAAACCAGGACATTTGGGAAAGGAGTGTGTAATGATTTAGACAAGTACTTTTACTTTGAATTTTTACCCAAATTTGTGCTTTTATTGACTTAAGTAGCTTTAGCATAATTACAGTTGAAAGTCAATATTTTAGCATTAAAATGTCATTTCCTTCCATCCTAGAAAATATGATCTCATGTTGAAAGATACTGGGCCTTTTAGCATCTGTCCTATAGCATTTTATTAGCTCTGCCGGTTTGAAATCCCCAGCTCTAGCTCTGGAAACCATTATTCCAGAGACAACTGAACCTGAGGTGGTGCCAGACATTTTCTTTTTTTTTCTCAGGCGTTGATATTTTTCCCTGAGAAGCTGTATTGCTTTCCATCAATAGACTTGTGTGGGTTTCACAGATGGGAGAAATCAACAGGAATGTATACATTCAGCATAGCTTGGTCTGTCAGTACTTTATTCTGTTACCTTTCAAATGATGGGTCGAGTTTTAAAACAGCAAACTCAAATGCCTGACATAGATGCCTAAATTTGGAGCTCGACTGTTTATATTCATAGACCCATTCGTAGTCATGTAACTCATGATAAACTTAATTGAAAACTGGTCTAGCAATGTCTGTGAATACTTTTGGAAGTTTCTAGCACATATACCAGCCCTACACCGTCTGAAGTTTTGTCAGGATGTCTGTGTGATTGATTTCCTGCCTTTTCTTGCGCATCAACCACGAGGGCCTCTCTCTGTGCTCCCCGATCCTCCTCTGAGCATGCTCTCTCTTCAGAATGTTGCTGCTTCCTATTCCCTCTGATTGGGATGGCGTTCTGCAGATGCTACACATGGTTTACGCAGGTTTTTTGGGTTGCTGATCAAAATTCTCTTGAAGGAAGTCGCCCCTGGTCACCCCATCGAAAGTAAAAATTAAATTGCTGTAGCTTTCTGTCTCCACCATTAGCTCGGTGAAAGTACACCATTATGTTTCCTCCAAGAGAACAACGGTTCTGGGAGGGCTGCTGGTCGAGTACTGTATGTATGGGAGTAGAACAGCACAGAGAGGGTATTAAGGATCTGTTACACAAATGAACTGTTTGCGTTAGCAGATGAGCAAAAAATAAAGGCAGTAACAATCCGTAGGAGTATGATAGGATGAGGCATAGTATTTCAGTAACTTGAAGTATTAGGCAATCACCCTTGCCTAAGGAGAAAGAGCTACTTGATGGAGGGATTTCCAGAAATTGCTAAGGAAGTAGTGCAAATGAGAAAAAGTGTGCATAATAGGACCCTGACAATGATAGATCAACTTCTCATTCATCATCTGTCTACATATATTTCCATGATGACATACTCAGAAAGACACTAGATTGGCATTATCTACTATCTGGGGGAAAAGTGTGAACAATAATTTTCCAGCAAAGAAATTCTAAAGGAACCAGAGGGCTAAACATTGGTAAAAAGAACATAAAAATGATTGCAACTATAATTGGTTCTGCACAATATGCTTCATGGCATCTTCCATGAAATTTTTTCACTCTCAATGTTTTGTTGAAGACTTATGCTTCTATGTTCATCAGAGATATCAGTCTGTAGTTCTCCTTTTCTGTTATGTCTCTATTAGGCTTTGGTATTAAGGTAATGTTGGCTTCATAGAAAGAGTTTGAAAGGATTTCTTCCCTTTCTATTGTTTTAACTATCTTGTGGTGGATTAGGGTAAGTTCTTGAAACATTTGGTAGAAAACAGCTTGAAACCATCGGTTCAGCTCTTTTCTTTGAATAAAAGATGAGCTCCCAAAGAAACTGCCAAATGTGTCTTGCCAATAGGATGCTCTACTCTGCCATTGTCTATACTGCAATGGTATGATACACTTAAATAGCATAATGATGGCCTTGAGACTTTTGCTGAAGGACTACACTATAGTAATAACATGGGGGAAACAGTGAGGGGCGAGAGGAAATGGGGTGTGGAAGAGGAAATCCCAGGGCCTTTGGAACTGTGTCATGAGAAATTAAAATTGAAAACCATGTGTCCACTGCCCATTGCCACAGTGACTTGGAATCAATTAGTGATGCTCAGTTGCTGATTTCTACAGTCTCTGCCCATTGTTCTCTCCTGGAATTCTGTGTGGATGTTCTGGTTCCACGTGTATTCCCACGTCTTGTCTTCTCTTCCCTCATGGAATTTCTGTACTTCCCATTGGAGACTTTTGTCTTTATATTAGTGCATTTTGCTCTGGCTTCTCATGGGGTGAGCCTTGGATACTCTTACGGCTGTTGCTATCACTGGCAGGGTGGCATGAGTTGAGTTCTGAGGAAAGACAATGCATTGAATCTAAGTGTGTTAGGCTTTTGTGATTCACTAGGGCCAGAAAAGTGTACCTGAAAAGTGATGATGTGATGGTAATATGTACTACATGTTTATTGAGAACTCTGTGGACTTTTGGGGAAGCATCAATGAGTTAAGAACCAAAATTTGAAAATATAATGGCACTGTCTTTAAAAATGTCAGAAAGCAGAGCCTAAAATGTCACTTGAATAATTAACACAATAAGCCAGAAAACTCCATTTTGGGTCCAGATAATTCCCTCAATCCCAGGGTCACCTGGAATTTCATACTCATTAGATTTTTTTCACCACAGCAGTAAGGATGGGGTGTACACTTTTTCCACTGACATTGGGTGACAATTTTCAAGCACCACCTTTATTTATCTTAAATAGAATAATTTAGGTATAGCACTCCTAAAGTTATGCTCCTTGAAGGCAGGAGGAAGATTTTAAGGTGATCTGGTTTCAGAAGGTATATTGTTTTACTGAAGTACAAGTTTCTTGCTTTCATCTTTCTAGCTCTAATATGTTATTGTTTTAAAAATAAGAATAAGTGATATGACTTGGGAAGAATATTAAAATTATCCCATATTCCAAGAAACTTTCCAACATTCAGCCTCACGAATTACCAACTCTTAAAAAATTGCAGTGGTTGATAGCTTTTTCGCTAACAATGCCAGGCCTTGACAGAAGTCTTTTGATTATATAAACTGGCACAACTCAGAAGAAATGAGTAACTAAACAGAGAACCGCAAGTGCCTTTTTGAAGGAACTAAGTAGTTTAAGAAGGGCAATGTACCAGATTCATAGTTGGCTTTTAGCCTGGGATTTAATCTTAATTCTTTGGCAAACTGACTCTTTACATATTTGCTTTGCAGTGTTTTTTTTTTTTTTCAAGATGAGAACTCTTAATGACATTTAACTACACAGACTGTCTACATGAAGAAAATGGAAGGGAAGTAAAGCCTCAGTGGATGGACTAACAAGCTTGCTTTCGCTATTAATGTGTAGCGGCAGTTGTAGTTCTGTTTTGACAAAAGCCTGTATTGATATTAGCCATCCTCTTACTAACTTGACAAGACCGATCTCTACCAATATAACTCCCCAGTAGTTTAGAGTGTTGCTTAATAGTAAAGTCTAATATCTTTATCCTTTAAAAGCATCTTGAAGCCAAAAAAAAAAAAAGATGCAGTAAAATAATGTACTTCAATTTTACTGGTAGAGGTATTAATAGTAGAAAACGTATTGGTTAATTATAATGGCCATTTCTCCCAGGCACCTGGGATCACACTAGGATGAGTTCGTAGTAATTGAGGTGAAGGCCTTATGAGGTTCTTCCCTGTACTGTAAATGTGCCTGCCAAGCAGTGTGTTCAGAAGCTTATTAATGGACATCTGTTTAAGATAATGTTCTTGGTAAATGTCATTGACCTACTACCTCATACTAGCCGTCATTCCACTAAGATTTATAATTTTCTAGTGTCATGTTAAAATACATGAAATAATTTATTTCATGTATAAATCCATCAAAGAAAACCAAATAGAATGTTGTTCTTTTTAAATGGTATACTTGTGCTGGTATTCTCTAGTATTGAATAAATAAGAATTACTGAGAGAATTCTATAAAAAAAAAAAAACAACCTTTCATGTAGAGAGCTTAACAAGTTTCTTCATGTGATTCAGATAAAAATCCACAAGCCCTCAAGCTAAGACAAGCAAAGTTATTGGAAATATAACAAGCAGTATATAATATCTTTACACATGAATATAGAAAATTTTAAATCAGCACTCGAAATATTCGAACATAAAATCTATGATGTGTAGGTTAACTTTTAATATTCTAGCTTATTTTCCACACTTTAGTCATCTTCTATACAAAATTAAATATGAATTGGGGCCGGAGTTGTGGCCAGCAGGTTAAGGTGCCTCCTGTGACACTGTGGCACCATACAGGAGCACCAATTCTACCTGGTTTCTCTACCTTCTTGATTCCCTGGTAATGTACCTGGGAAAGCAGCAGAATATGGTCCAAATACTTGATCCCTATATCCACGTGGGAGATCAGTATGGATTTCTAGAGTCTTGGCTTTTGTCCGACTCAGCCTCCACCAGCGAATGAGAGAATTCTCTTGCCCTCTTTTCTCCTTCCCACCGCTTCCTCATCCCCCTCTGCCTCCCTCTCTTTCTCTCCATTCCTTCACCCTTCTCTGTGACACTGCTTTTCAAATAAAATTTTAAAATCTATTAAACAATTGAAGAATAACATCATAGCCTGAGACCTGAAATCTGCAGTCTTGCCTTGTAAAGAACATTAATGTGTCATTTGCTCCACAAACAATCCTCTTCTGTACTCTCTCTGTGTCTCTCTTCGTAGAATCACACTTTGTTTAATCACATGCAAACATGGAATTTATTGAAACATTTAAAAACTAAGTGTATATTCAATTTTAGATTATCACAGATATAATATAGCCCTAGGCATTTGGTATAGCAACAAGGATAGTACTTGGAAAGCCAGATTCCAAGTTGGAGTGCCTGGGTTGAAGTCCCAGCTCCACTCCCGATTGCAGCTCCTTGATGATGTACACATTCAGAGATAATGGTGATGGCTCAAGTACTTGGGTGCTTGCCACCTTCTTAGAGCACCTAGATTAGGCTCCCGGTTAGTGACTTTTAGCCTGGCTCAACCTCCAGTGAGGCAGGCATTTGGGGAGTGAATCAGTAAATAGGATACCTCCCCCCTCTCCTCTCCCCATGTCTTCCCTCCCTTCCTTCTTTCCTTTTTTCAAAATAATAGAATAAATAACAGCTTAGAAATAGATAATGTATCATTTAAAAATTACAGAGTGTCTTTAAGAGAGGAAAATTATTGATATAGCGGGGTCATTTTCATATCCATAAATGTAAATGTTCCATACTTTCTTACTCATAAATTAATTTTGTTGGTGGATTTGACCAGTGAATAATTTAAAAATTATTTGCTTTTGTTGCTTTCTGAAAATAAGACATATTCTTCTCTTAGCAACATAGTACACATACAGCATTTTCAAGGTCTCTGGTTCCTTAACCACTAAAATGGACCTCACACTAGTCACAGTTTGGACTTTGTCCAAAGCAGTTTATAACATAAAGTTCCAGCACTTCAAATTTCTTCTACAACAGTGACTTGTCATGGTTTCTGAACAGAGTTTTTCTCTGAGATTCAACAAAATATTGTATCCTTTTGTTGACTTTCAACTAGACAGAAGGTTCAATAGGAGATTAATAGAGAAAGAGCCCTGGCTGTAGACCAAGTGAGTTCATGGCCTCTCCCGTATTTTATTCTGGAACGCCTTTTCCCACAGCTTTTATGTACTGTTCAGTGACTGACACTCACAAGCTTTTACTTATGTATGTTTTTATTCAGTTTACTTAAAAGTACCCTTCACATTAATTAACGATTGGAATGGATTACTTGTTACTTCATTTGCTATTTTTATTTTCATTTTTGTTACTGATTTCTTTATTGTGAAATGGACATGCCTTCTATGACAAGGTGTTTGTATCCCAAAGGGAGACTATTTCTTATTTCTTGCAAAGACAAGTAAGTTTGTACAGGAGGACCAAACACATGGGTGGAGATGGCTATCCAAGAAGAAGGTATAGAAAGAAGAAGGTAGAAAATAGCACCATGGAAATTTATGGTTAAAACTGAGAAGGAAAACCAAGAGACTGAGAAGGCAATAGCCAGCAAATGAAGAGGAGGTGGTATTGCAGATGCTAAAAAGGGGGAATTATGAGAAATGGCAGCATCTACAGATTCCAGTATTGCTGAAAATTTAACAGAGGAGAGGATCCTCAGGGATTCTTCTGGGCCCTGAGGCATTGTGGTCAGTTCCAGGAGGTCCAGGAGAGCCATCTCAGAAGATGGACTTGGCTAACAGGAATAGGAGGAGGGGCCAGGCCCACGAACAAAACCCAGAGAGATGTTTGAGGGGTGAGTTGGGAGAGGAAGAGCAAAGAACCTGAACCACAGACAAGAAAGAGGGAGGAAATTAATTTGAGTTTTTGGATTTGGACAGTAAAAGCAAAAAGAGACTGGGGGAATTACATTAAGCTGAGAAGGTTCTTTATTGCAAAAGAAACACTTGACAAAGTGACGAGGACACCAACAGAATGGGAGAAAATATTTGTTAACTGTACAACTGATGATTAGTATCTAGAATCTTTGGGAAGCTCAAACCACTCAATAACAATAAAACAAATAATCTAGTCTTAATTGGGCAGGTTTAAACAGGTATTTTTCAAAGGATGAAAATAAGATGGCCAATAGACACATGAACAATGATCACTTAGCTGTGAGAGGAATGAGAATCAAAGCCACAATGAATCTTGACTACATTCCAGTTGCAATGACGATCATCCAAAATGAAAAGCAGTAATTGCTGAAGAGGAT